TGTCACGAGCCGAGCGTGCGCGCCCTGGAGGGCTTCCTCTCCTCCAGCAATTTGCGTCGCGTTCCCTATTTGAACTCGTTGATGCAACGCTTCGAGAATCATGGCTCAAATGGCTGCACCGCTGTGCCCACTGCCCAGGAGCTCTTCCACAAGTTCAAGCATGTGAATCTCGCTGCTGGCCATGGCGAGCTGGTCAGCTTCTCCAACATCCGGCTGAGCCAGCGCTATGCGAGAAAGGCTCAGCTGAATTACACCCATTACCTTAAGCAGCAGCGGAGCGCGTATGCCGTCTACTACCTGATCCTGGAGCAGCTGCAACTGTATGGCCAGATCACGCGCACTCAGCTCTTCCATGCGTGCGAGACGGCCACGCAGCTGGCGCTGCAGCATGCCGGCGACGAGGAGCTGGTGACCCACTGCGTCGCCTGCTGTGAGATGTTGGACTTTGATACGCAATCGTTGCGCAGCTATTTGCACCTGCAGCGGCAGCTGCCGTCGACAGCGACATGTGACAGCTATACGCAGCAGCTGGAGCAATGGGATGAGGCGTTGGTGGGACAGCTGGTCAAGCAACCGGAGCAGTTTCCTCTGGAATCCTATCAAGCTCTGATGCGCTTGGCGGCCCGCAATGTCCACGGCAAATGGCCGACGGCGCTGTTGCAACATTTTGCGGCCCACAACGATTGGTGGCAGCTGCTCCTGCTGTTCCAGTACTTTGAGCTGCCCCTCACCGAGCTGAAGCAACTCCTGCCGCACTTCAAGTGCCAGTCCCTGGGCATTCATATGCTGCGCGCGCTCAGCCATGACTGCAGCCACGAGCGGCAGCACAAGCGCGCGGTCAATCGACGCAGTGATGGAGCCGCCCATTCCTCACAAGAAACCATGACCAACTCCTCGCACAGCTCCGGCCTGGATGGCAATCTGCAGCAGCTCCAGCAGCTCAATGGCCAATCTCTGTGCAATCTGCTCACGCACAATGCGCAGCCGGATCTGTTTGCCCTGGTGCTGTGCAGCAGCAACAGTCTGCCGGACGAGTCCATTGGCAGTTTGGCGCGCCTCGTGGAGCTGATGCAGAGCAGCGCCAATCATTGCAGCAGCCTCAATCTGCTCAAGCATTGTGTGCGCCAGCAAATGCCCGTGCTGGCCGTCCTGGCGGCGACGCTGAGCGCACAGAATCGCGACTGGTGCTGGCTACTGTGGCTGGTCGTGGCCAGCGGACAGTGGCCGCAGCTGCTCCAGCAGTGCAGCAAAGCCAAGGAGCCGCTGCAGCAGACGGAGCTCATCTGGTTTGTCATCAGTGGCGCCGTCAAGGCGGGCCAGCTCAATGCGCTGCTGCACAGCTTCTGCATATTTCAGCCAGTAAGTAGTAATCCAGTAGGGGTAATCCTTGAGCTTCGTCCTTTGCCAAGTGTCCTCCTTCATATGCATATACTCTATCCCTTTGCAGCACTGCGCCTTCGTTCATCTCTGTCGCTTTCTGCAACTAACCGCACAACGCCAGGACTTTAGTGATTCAACAATTTTGGAGCTGCGTCAATTCTTCTGCAATTGGAGCCAGGATGCAGTGCAGCTGCCGCTCTGCGAGCCGATGCCACGCAAACAGCTGATGCAGCGCTGCATTGGGCTGCTGCTGCTGCAGCTGCAGACGAACTTCGACTGCGTTCTGCAGCAGCAGAAGTTTCTGGAGTGCATCTGCCGCTCGGATGTGGGCGACATTTGCGATCTGCTGGACTTTTGTCTGCTGCATCGCATCTTTGGCGTGGCGGCGCCCTGGCTGGGCCAGCTGGGCATTGACTACGAGCAGATGGTGCGGCGCGACAGCCTGGAGTATAAGCGTCTGGTGGATGCGCTGACCGAGGCGAAGGCCTATGAGCAGGCGCTGCAGCTGGCGACGCTGTTGCAGCTGCCGCTGGCGGACATCGTCTATGCCAAGTGGCTGGCCGAGCTGGAGGCGGGTGAGCTGCGCCAGCACGAGCAATATGAGCAGGAGATCGAGCAGCATGCTCTGCCGCCAGCAATCCTGGTGAACTTCCTGCTGCAGGCCGCTGCTGCCCAGCAGCCGGAGACGCAGCTGCGACGTCGCTACGAGCTGTTGCAGAGCTCGCTGGGAGTAATCAAGCAGCATCATTTGTTCCCCAACGAATCCTTCGACAGGGACCAGATAGAGTACGACATGGTAGTCTGCTATCTGCAGCTGGAGGCGGAGCAGCTAGAAACTGTGGAGATCTATCATTCCGAGTACTTTGAGCAGATAATGCGACAGGAGCGTTGCGTGCTCTACAAATCCTTCTCGGAGCTCAAGGAGCTGGCTGGCATCGATGACCTGAGCATAGCCAACAAAACCCATCTGACCGCCGAGATGGAGCAGCGTTTGATTGATCTACTGAATCTACTCTTGGATGAAGGAGACATTGTGGAGGCACTGCGTCTGCAGGAGCTGTTTGAGTTTCGCCCAAATGATTTGCGCTTCATCGTCTTTGCCATGGCTCTGGCCGAGGGCATGACGAGCATCGCGAATCTGTCCAACAAGGAGCGCCAGCTGCTGAGCGACATCGAGAAGAGCGCCTTTCCCAAGTTCAATCGTCTGACGCTCAATCAGAGTCCCATGAATCGCTGCAGCAGCGATCTCTCGGACAGCTATTCCACGCTCGAGTTCGAGGAGATTCCCTCGAAGGAGAAACAACAGACTCTGGAAACGCTGCTGGGCATTGGCTCCAAGCTGAAGCACGGCGTCGAGCTGGGGCGACGCATTGTGCTGGCCTATCGCACGGCCATGTACCTGGACAAGGAGTATCTGGATGTGCTGCGCACCAAAGATGTCAGTGTGCTGCTCAAGAGCGCCGCCGAGGAGGAGTGTCTGCAGCGATTGCTAGTGGTCAGCGATATACACATATCCACAAGGCTGACACCGCAAGAGGTAGAGTCTTATACAATACTTATATTTATTGCGAAGTCTAAGTCATCTCTGGACTCAAAGACCTTATACTTATTGAATATCCCATTCAATTGTTAATCCTTCAATCCTTAATCTTCAATCTCATATTGAGTCTTATACAACTCTTATATTTAATAACCCATTTCTAATCTTATTTTCTCATATACAACTCTTACATTCAATTGCTAATCCTTCTTCGATTCCTTTCAGATCGCTGAATCCCTTGCGCTGGAGCTAACCACCTGCATTCTGCGTCCACGTTTCTACATCTTCCATGCCAGTCAGCAGCCACGCAATGCTCCGCGCAACGCCGACCTCTGGGGTCATAATATCGATCGGGATTTCCATCTGTTTCTGGAGTTGACTCCGAACACTACGCTGCTGGGCAATTGCCTGCTGGAGTATTGTGATGCACTGAAGGCCTATAGGCGCTATCAGGACAACAAGCCTTATGTGCAGAGCAAGGCCTTCGAGCTGCTCTCGGGGATCATAACACTCTACGGACTGCCGCACACTCATAATGCGGTCAGCTCCACGGGCATTCCGCAGGTTCTCTCGAGCAAGAAACATAATCAAATCTATGTGGAGCTCCTGATCAAGGCGCATTTGTGCTTTGTGCACGAGTGCTCCATGGAGGGCATTGCCAATGTGCTGGAGCGAGCCAAACAGCTGAATGGCCAGCTAACCAAGGCCAAGTCGTGGTCCCTAATCGTTCGCCTGCTCATTGGCATTGCACGGTACCGAGAGATGTTCTACTGCTTCGATGCGTTGATTGAGAACGAGCAATTCGAGTCGCTGCTGGGCCAATTCGACGAGGATCAGAAGAGTGGACTGAGACAGGCGATACTCTGCTATCTGCGAGAGTACAATCCCAAGAATAGTAAGGAGCTGCTGCGTCTCGCTGCACATCATTTTCTCATGTACAAGGAGCTGGCGGAAATGTGGTCGAATGAGGCGCAGCTGATCTTGGAGCGAGTGCGCAGCACCGCGAGCGCTGGCCCAACTGAGCTCAAGTGCAGCCACGAGCTGCAACAGCAGCTGCAGCAGGCACTGGAGAACTATACGCACGCCACCGAGAACTATTTGCTGGACAACAAACTGATATTGGCACAGCAGAGCGTGGCACGCGCCGAGCTGATGGCCATGCAACTGGATCTGTGTAACAAGGCGATGGAGCGAAAGGGAGGAGGAGGCGGCGGAGCAGCAGGAGGAGCTAATAGCAGCAGCAGCAKCAGCTCTTCCATGCCACTCTGCATCAGTGTCATTGGCGTGCAGACACGCGATCAATTCCGTGAGCTGGTCAATCAGCAACTGAGGTGCGTTCCAATTGGTTAAACCAATCAGATTATTGACAGCACTGCATATCTAATTAGACATATATAATATGAATCTTTGAACTTATCCATCAATTTATATAACAATCTATTTGTCTCTAAATTTATCTACGTATCTCTCTCAGCGTACCTCAAACCCTCATATTGAGTCGCGCCTACGGCTACGATATTAACTGGAGTGAAGCATTGTTATCGCAATTTGTGCTACTGCAAAGGGCCAATTATCTGCAGCAATATCTCAGTCATCAGCGCATCAGCGACAGTGTTATTGAGCAGGTGGTCAAAGGGTAACTAAAATATAAGCAAAACTCACCTTAGCGACTCTCCTCTAACAGTCTCTTCCATTTCAGCTACATATTGCACACACAAAACAATCCAACCAGTGCCAAATATGATGTATCACTAACTCATTTGGTGGAGCTCATTCGATCCGTTACATTGAAATATAAATTGGCCTCCATTTTGGGTTTGAAAGCGATTGTTATGGCGCTTATAAATGATTCCACGGTGCACTATTTGCGCGATACGAACTTCGGCCGCAATGAGCTGCACAACGTAACGAATATGTGACACAGTTTATGTGATTTTAACACTTTATTATATATGAATGAACTGATTGTACATTATATTATATTAAATAAACAAAAAGTAAAAAATCACTTGGCGCGAAAAACACAGAGTTGTCACTGTCCTAAATATTCGATATATATATTAAGTAACAACGTTCGATAGCTATCGATAAGTGCTGTTCATGAAAACGATACCAATTACACACTGACACAAGTAAATAGCGTGCGGTAAGGTTTGCTCACACATCTGATTTGTAAGGAGAAACTCATATTATTTCATTTTTTCAACAAAGTGTGTCTGCTTTAAATTATTTAGCAATTGTGTAACAAAACGTTTTACTTTCTACAAATAGCACACACACAATGGCACAGAGCAAACTCAACGATTTAGCGGGCAAGCTGGGCAAAGGTGGCCCACCTGGTCTGGGCATTGGACTGAAGCTGTTGGCGGCTGTTGGCGCTGCTGCCTATGGTGTTAGTCAATCCCTGTATACCGGTAAGTACGCGAAACACCTACAATCCGCCTAAAATATTACACAAACAAGAAAAACAAGACATTTGTAGCGGCATGTGAACATAACCTCAAACTGTCTCTTGTATGCTTTGTCTATGCGGGCATATGTATGTGTGTATGTGATAGTGGTGTAATTTCGTAACTAATTTCAAGGCTTGCACAATGCATTTCAAGTAACACCTGAATTAAGTCCAGTTAGCAATTGGAAGTATGATCCAATTGGAACTGCAGTTTCATTGATAACACTTCAAGCGAATGTCTGTAGCACACTCGGTTTCTGTTGCATAACAACTCTAAATGTTTTTTATCTCTTTGCAGTGGAGGGCGGTCATCGCGCGATCATCTTCAGCCGCCTGGGTGGCATCCAGAATGACATTTACTCTGAGGGTCTGCATGTGCGCATTCCATGGATCCAGTATCCAATTATTTATGACATCCGCTCGCGTCCCCGTAAAATTTCATCGCCCACCGGCTCGAAAGATTTGCAAATGATCAATATTTCGCTGCGTGTGTTGTCGCGTCCCGATTCATTGAACTTACCGTTCCTGCACAAACAACTGGGTGTCGACTACGATGAGAAGGTGTTGCCTTCCATTTGCAATGAGGTGCTCAAGAGTGTTATTGCCAAGTTCAATGCCTCCCAGCTGATTACACAACGTCAACAGGTATGTAAAGAGTAAAACACATGGAGATGGGCTGTAGAGCGTAAATACAAATTATCTGCACCCACCCCTTATAATGCGCGCAGAGGAAGCGAGAAAGAGAGGGAATGTTTAATGAAGCCTCGCAAATGTAAATACTAAGATGCACATTCGTTAGGCTTCCTTATTCACTCGCTCTGCTAGAGCGCAACCGATGTTGAGTAATTGCCAGTCGTTCTTATTCACTCGCTCTCTCAAAGCGTATGGCTCTCAAACCGATCGAAAGAGAAAATTACTTACACTCTTTAACTATTCTGCTCATTCCTAATTGCGCAGTTTTTTTTCGATTTAACTTTATTGAATTCCGTTTTATAGGTCTCGCTGCTGATACGCAAGGAGCTGGTGGAGCGCGCGCGTGACTTTAATATTATTTTGGATGATGTTTCGCTGACTGAACTGAGCTTTGGCAAGGAATATACGGCAGCTATTGAGGCCAAACAGGTGGCACAGCAAGAGGCGCAGCGCGCTGTCTTCTTCGTAGAGCGCGCCAAGCAGGAGAAACAACAGAAAATTGTCCAAGCTGAGGGAGAAGCTGAGGCAGCTAAAATGATATCCTTTTTACAAAACAAACCATTTAGCTAGGCGTTTTATATATGTCTAGCACTACTTATATTATTATTATTATTATT